AACGTTGTTTGCTGTCTCAGATGATAAAAGGCTTACACCTGGTTACTGATGCAATTCTGTCTATAGTCCCTCTGCTCTTGTCAGGGTGCTGTTTATATTTTCAGACTAACTATAGAAGACTTCAGACGTAGCTTCACCATCCTGACAAAAATAATGATCTCTAGCTTGCTGGTATATTAATGATCTGATCTGTCTTTGAATTCTATGCATGTGGCTTTATATAAGGTTAGACACTAACTGGATGGCTGGATGTTACAGGCATAATTTTCATAGATTCCCCGTGTGTTTTCTAGTTAAAATCAAATGGCTAATGAAACTGGTTTAATTCTAAGATATCTTAAGGATTTGAAAGAGAGAAGGAACTCTTCAACTTATGACCACAGTTACGACCAGAATTCTCATCACAAGTTAGTGCCATTGTAAAGCAAGTTATCAGTAGACCAGACCCAATTCTACAACCATTTTTTAAATCATGTCTATTAAGCAAATCACATGGTAATTAAGTGAATTGACTCTCCCCAATTTTCATCAGCTGACAAGGTTGCAAATTACAGTCATATAACTTGCAGGATGCTACAGCTGGTCATAAGTGCAAGTTGATTGCGAAGCACCGAAATTTTAACCACATGACTTCAGGGATAGTACAATTGTAGTAAGCAAGAACAGGCTGTAAATCATGTTTATTCCAAGACCATTGTAAATTTGAACCATTGTTGTAAGTCAAAGACTATCTGGAAAGAGAGAGAAAAGATAAAACACTATTTTGGGAGTTAAAATATTATCACAATTTATTGTGATTTGAGGATAGGTAGGCTATTTTCCACAGCAATATGCATATGACCTAGGATGGAGTGGATTGGACCCTACTGGCTGCCACTGAGTGGTCTACCCTCCATCTGAAGAACCGACTGAACAAATGCTGTCACTGTCCAGTTCTAAAGCAAGCCTGCTGAACTGGAGGCCTGCGGGCCAATAATGGCCTGCATAGGCCACACCCACCCTGGCTCTGCAAAGGCAAAAAATGTCGCGATGTCACAATTCGGATCGTGACGTGATTACGTTTGACAGCCCTCTGTGAGACCAGCTTATTATCCTTCAAAACTTGACTGAATTGGAAGTTAGGTATAAAAGGCTGGCCCCTTTCTCAGAGTGAGTATTCTATTTCATAATTTATTTATTTATTAAATTTCAAGTTTTTATTATGTCTATCAAGGCCAAAGAACAGATGGAAATAAAAAGGTACAAAAGGAGAAAGGAGAAAAGAAGATAAAATGAATAATTATTTTGAAGTCATTTCTTCTGCCTAGGATCTCCTGCAGAGATGTGCACAAAACAAAGTCATGCAACTCTGATCACAGTGCATTAAAGAAAATAAATTGTGTATTGTTTCTGACACTCAGTAGCTTGCTGTGTAATTCCTTGATCTTCAAGCTAGTTTTATATACAGGACAGTTTTGATAGCAGAAAAGGCAAAACATTAAAAGCCCCCCCCCCTCCCTCCCAAAAAATCAAAAAACCAGATAACTGTTGAAAGGTCAGGCTTTCCTTTAATTCTTTACAAGTCTGAATCTAATGAAATGGAATGGAATGGAATTTTTAGCTGATAACAGTGGTTGGCATTGTTTTATTTTGTAACTATATTCTGTTTTGGTTTTTAAAAAAGAATTCTTATGATTCTTGGGTACATTGTATGTATGGTGTCTTAGATAAAAAATAAAACAAAGCAGAAAAATGTGACATAACTGCAACTTTTCAATACAGTAGTTATTTTAATAGAAAAAAAAGTAAAATAGCAAAAAAAAAATTGAGGAGTATTAGAGTTGGTTACATTCCTGTCCTGTTCCCCAATCAGCTTCTGCCTCCAGTTTTTCAAAAACTCAATGACTTAAGCTATATTCTGTTATAATCTACAGAGTGTCTTTGTTTTATGCAGATTTTATAAATTGCACTCCAATAAAAAAATTCCTATTATACTTTGCAAATACAGTATGAGAGTTCTTCCCATTTACAGCCTTTCCCATATGTTCACTAAATTATTTCTAAGTTTCTCTCCATTTTTGTTTTTGAAAAAAAGTCTTGTTGAGTGAACACCATAATGTATTTATAAATTATGGTCCCACTGATATTTGAAGCCTCTTCCTGTCCTACTATGAGAATAAAAGACTGCTTGTTTTCTGAAATTGTTTTATTTTTCCATTAGGCATTATGAAAGAGATGGCCGCAGTGTAAATAGTAATAACTGTATGAAATCAATGTTTATGATAGAATTAGGTTTTTTTTTAAAGTTTAGTTCCATGCTGTAGAGCATACACTCATATAAACAGAATCTCTCCTAGATAACTAGGCATTGAAAAAACAAAACAAAAATAGTTATGTAATATTACTGCTTTCCTACCTACCTTGGGGTGAGAAGCAAAAATGCATATTATTTCCCTTTCAATAGGAAATGTTGGAACAGTATTAAGTGTACCTGTTTCTGCCTCATTTTTCAAAGGATAACAAGAAACAACTTTTTAAACAGCTGCATTTATATGACTACATATAAATGAGTCATATAAATAGATACATGAGTCATTTCAAACTGTTCTGAATATTTGTCAAAAATATTTGTCAAAAATTCTGAAATGTCACCTGATCTCTATGGATATGATATGTCCTCTTCATTAATCATAAATTGATGTCCATCATCACACCTAATGGCACCAAATTTCACAGATAAACTATGCATTGTACAAAGAAATACTTCCTTTTATTGTTCTTCAATCTCTTCACACTGAGATTTAATAGATTATCCTGAATTTTAATATTGTATGAAATAAAACCTTTTCTCTAGTGACACATTGCATACATACTATCCATGATTTTATGTACTTTTTTTTTGATCTTCCCTTACCTATTTTCACTTTTAAAAAGATCAATTATCTTTCGTAAAAGGAAACTATTGTGGTCTAACTTATCATTTTAGTTGTTCTTTTATAGCTCTATAATATCCTTTTTAGACGTGGTAATCAGAAGTATATGCAGTATTCCATACATGATCTACAGGGTATTTTAATATAGAAAGTAACTTATTCCCTTCCAATTACAAAGTTTATTTTTCTGCAGCAGAAATATCTTGGGTTGTTCAAGTGAGACCAGAATTCTTTTCCCGATTTGGCCACTGCCAGTTGTCTTTCTTGAAGACTAAAATTGCTCTAAAAATTAATAATCCAAATTTTATTTTAGTCATAATGTTGATTTAGCATTCAATGTTTCTCAGTTATCTCATATTTCATTTATTTTGTTTTCCTCATTGAGGATAATGATGTATTTCATAATATCCAAAATTAACAGGAATAGTCATTGAATTTTTAAATGCCTGTTGGGTGTATAATAATAATATTTTTTTGATGCAATGCTGCTCTCTGGGCTCCTATGTAAAAGCTTGGAAAGCCAAACATGCTGAGTAGAAAGAGGGAAGAATCAGGTCTTTAGGGAAGTCAAGATTGTCAGATTGATTTCTCTGAAGAAAAAATACCATGTTTGTAACATTATAAGCATTTCTGTAGTAAATTATGCTGAGTCATTGGAGACATACAGGAACTCTTATGGGTTTTCTCCAGATTTGTATGTTTCTCTTTAAACATCTTTTCCTAAACATTGAAAGACTTCCCCAATAACAATGATGGCATATTGTTCTTGATCTACAACTACCAGCCTTCTTCATCACTGGTTATGCTGGCGTAGATTTTTAGGAACTATAGTTTAACACTATTTTGAAAGTCAGAAGTTCCTCATTCTAGAGATGAGAGCTACACATCATGTAGCATCTCAAAGCTCTGAGTGCAGCTCTCAGATCTCCACCAGGATTTGGATTGCATTTTTTTAAATATTAAGGACAGAATTATTAAATACTTGGATATTGATTTTATTCAGTGTTGTACATGAAATTAAATTTAGAATTATCCTAACCTATTGTTGAAAATGTAATACCTTGGATGTCATTGGAAGATTAAATACATTTCTGATTTCTGCAGTCATGACTACTGTAGTTAGAATGCTAAACTAGAAACTGGAGAAGATTTAAATTTACTGTATCCTTAGTCAGAAGCTTGCCAAGCGAGTTTTGGTTAGTCACTCGTTCTCATCCCAACCCTGATAGGGTTGTTATTAGGATGATATGAATAAGGCAGAACTCTATGTGAGCTGCTTGAACTTTTGTAGGATATAATTGGTAAATGAATATAATTTCCATTGTTTAAGAATAAAGCTTCAAAGATAATTGTTATGTTTGTATGCATATAAAAGCAAACTAGATGAAAGTGAGACTTTGGGAGTTCCACATAGTTATTAAGACTGAAATATAAATGTAGACATGCTTCACATAGCATTCAGCAGCATTATAAACATATATCTTCCTGAAATATCTCTGAAGATAGCAGTTTTGTATTTTTAGAACACAGATTTATTCTTTCAACCATTTCCAGTTGTTTAGTCCAAATAACAGAACAATGTCAGCACTGTATTTTTCACTCATTGTATGTTGGATGCAGATCTGAAGTCCACACCTCTGGGTTCAGTTTAAACAAGTTATTTGTTTCGTAAGTAGGAGTAGAGGAGGAGTTCATCTTTTTTTTAAAGACATTGGAAAATTCTAGAAGCTCACTATGCTTTGTGGAGGATTGCAATCACCTAGGATTTATCTTTACTGATTTTCATTGTAGTCCTTGATATAAATTGCAATAACGATAGTGGCATCTTGGCATGTATGTTATTTTTAGTACAGGAAAGCTTCAGAACAAAGCCTTAGTTATCCACAGTTAACAATCAGCATAACTTATTTTCTGAAGCATAACACAATGGAAAAATGCATTTTTAAAAATCGTTCCATTGTAGTAAATTTGATATACTCATTTTTATATAGACAGTGAGGATTTTGAATGGTTCATTTCCTTCTTCTGGACACAGAACTAATATCAATTGTCTCTGGATTTATTAGCTGGTTTTTTCCCCCCTCTTAGGACATCCAGGCTGAAATTGATGCTCACAATGATATCTTCAAGAGCATTGATGGAAACCGGCAGAAGATGGTAAAAGCCTTGGGGAATTCTGAAGAGGCTGCACTGTTACAACATCGTATTGATGACATGAACCAACGCTGGAATGATCTGAAAGCAAAATCAGCCAATATCAGGTAAGATCAGACCTGCACAACTCATACAGGCAGATAACAGATAATCAGAGTTGGAAAGGACCTTGTAGGTCATCTAGTCCAACCCCCCCGCTCAAGCGGGAGACCCTACACCATTTCTGACAAATGGCAGTCCAATCTCTTCTTGAAAGTCTCAAGTGATGGTGCTCCCACAACTTCTGAGGGCAAGGTGTTCAAGGCAAAAAGACCACATTAATACACGAACAATAACTGCATGTCAAAATTGCTGACATGCCAATCATCTGTTTGGCAGCTAGTGGTGCATCGGCAATGCTAAAGCTGGCAGTCTTAGTGACACCTGGAGGTGTTGGAGTCATTTAACAATTTTTCTTTTGGGTTGGAAGTGACTGAAAAACTAGGCAGTGGTATATCCTTCCAGGTTGCAGAGCCATTTGTTGGCACTGAATTTGTTAAGCTTTCAAAACAAAAAAACAAAACAAACCCCACTGGAAAGCTGCACAAGTCTCCTTGGTGGCCTGTGGTGGTTATGTCACTCAGGCCTGGGGAACATTTAATAAAATAGATGCTACTTTTTAAATTCCAATATTTTATGCATCTGCATAAAAATGCAGTGTGATACAGCAATTACAAGTTATTTTTAAAATTATTTGTGGACCGTAATTTAGGAGATGTTTTCCCAGAGCAATGTCCCGCAGGTCCAGGCCTTCAATTACTGTGGCATTTTAATTTCAGCTCAATTAAGAACATCAAGCTGAGAACAGTTGTTTAGCATGTTCTCATAAGGCAATCTATAGAAAAGAGAAGAAACATTTAGTTTCATTAACATAGACAATCATGCGATCCAGAAAGGTAATATTAAAATCCTGCTCTATAGATTAATAGCAGTTGAGTTGGACAAATGCCATACATAGATATAGAGATTATAAGGCCTCATTCACTTCTATCAGCATATATAATCTTGAATATAATCTTGATAAATGAATAATTAAGTAGTTCTCGACTTACGACCACAATTGAGCCCAGAATTTATGTTACCAAGTGAGAAATGTGTTGAGTTTTGCCCCATTTTATGACTTTTCTTGGAACGTTTGTTAAGTGAATCATTGCAGTTGTTAAATCAGTGACATAGTTGTTAAGTGAATCTGGCTTCCCCATTGAATTTGCTTGTCAGAAGGATGCAAAAGATGATTGCATGACCCCCCAGGACACTGCAACCGTCATAAATATGAATCAATTGCCATATAGCAGCATCTGAATGTAAATCATACATGACCATGGAGATGATGCAATGGTCATAAGTGTGAAAAATGGTCATAAGTTGCTTTTTTTAGTGCTGTTGTTACTTCGAATGATCCCTAAATGAGCTGTTGTAAGTCGTGGACTACATGTATACAGGTAAAAGGGATCCATAAACAAAACACTGCATAGAATGATTGTAAAAGTAACTCCAAAATATTAAATTGTTCTTTTGCATGGCACTGCATACGACTTTCATGGCAAATAGCTACCATGGATCCCAGAAGAGCATGTTGCTGCTGCTAACTGTCTATTTATTAAGTCAGACAAGCTTCTTTTAAAAAGAGTTACTATACATAAATGAAATGACCTGCATACTTCACTGTCTAATGGTAAGAAAAAAACAATCTTAAAGGAGCTCATTCATTGTGTATGCAGCCTGCCAACATTAGAATGGATGATGCCAGTTTATTTACTTATTTACTGATTGATAGCTGATCTGTGTCCCAAAAAATGAAACCTAGGCTGAGTGATGCCTTGTGGGACTCAAATCTGTAGGTGATCTTGATCATCAAAGTATATAATGAAGGAAGCTGTGAGTCTGTGTTGTATTTTTGGGTTGTGTGAAATTAGTAGTGGCTCTCAGACTAAGGTCCATAACATTGATATTTTTTCAGGCAATAAGTACAGGGGTCTTCAAACTTGGCAGCTTTAAGACTTGTGGACTTCATCTCCCAGAATTCCTCCTCCAGTCATGTTAGCTCAGGAATTCTGGGAGTTGAAGTCCACAAGTCTTAAACTTGCCAAGTTTGAAGACCCTTGCAATAGGAGAACCAGGCTGTTATAGTGATTAAAACACCAAGCTACAAACTGGGAGTCTGTAAGTTCTAGTTCCAAGTTGGCCACGAAGCCAGCTGTGTCCCCTTGGGCCAGTCACTCTCTCTTGGCCTCAGAAAGGAGACAATGGCAAGCTACTTCTGAAACCTTGTGAAGAAAACTTCAGGGACCAGCCCTTGCAATCACCAAAACTGACTTGAAAGCACACACATACACAAATAATAAGATTGGAAACAAAGATTTCCCCCGTCTCTTTAATTAGCAGCATGAATTATGCAAAACTTGCATTCATATGGAATATGTGACCGTGTCTTCTGAATATGTGGATCCTCTTCTAAATAAAGAATTTCCGGATTTAAGGATCATAATCTGCACAAAGATGAAGCAAAAAGCATACACTCAAGAACCCCTCTTAGCCTCATCCTTAATAGAGAGAGATCAGTGAAACAGATTGATATTCTTGTTCCTCAAGATGTAGTAATTTCAGTAATCACTGCTCCTCTCAGAAATGTGCAGCTATAAGATTATCCATTTTCATAGTAAGCTCAATTCTCATAACATCAAAATAAATCCAGACTTTTAAAACCTTGTTGCATGGAGAGCAGGGCAAAGCAAGTTAAAGAAACATGGCTAGTGATCAGCATGCCGTGCAGGATCAGAGTTTAATCTTAATATTAACAGCATTAAAAGTTCTAAGCAGTTTGTCTAATAGGAGCGGTTAGTCTTATGAACAAATGATTACATTATAAAGAATAGCTGCAAATTATAATGCAACTGGCAATTCACTAGAGGCAGGAATGTGAATTGCATCAGAGAAGCAGACATCTGAATTTGGGATATTTCCTTATACTCTTCTATGATGGCATGTATCTCTAAATCATCCAGGCCCAACAGTTAACCTTTTGCAAGCATGGCAGGTAAATGTTTATCTTTCATTTTATTTTCAAAAACATTTTTGTAAATAATACAATGTCATGGTAGTCTACCCTTTATTACCTGAGTTTGATAAGTGCCCCATAGCAATATACCCTTATGTAAAATTTCTGACCCATGATCTGTGAATATTTAAGCCAGAGGTCTCCAAACTTGGCAACTTTAAGACTTGTGGACTTCAACTCCCAGAATTCTCCAGCTATGCTGGCTGGAGAATTTTGGGAGTTGAAGTCCACAAGTCTTAAAGTTGCCAAGTTTGGGGACTCCTGATTTAAGCTAATGGAATTTTGTATTTTATTTACTTTGAAAGAGTAATAGAGATAGTTAAAGAACACATTGTTAATGCCTGGTGTTTCTAATCCTTCTCTGTCAAATTAGAAAAACAGGGAGATTTGTATGCTAATACATTAACTGAGAGCTACAAAATTCTAGCTCTAACAGTTGAACAGCTTGGTGTTTCTTGAAGATTAATTTTTTAAAATAAAACTTTATTAAATTTCAGAAAAATGTAAAATACAAAAAAGCAAAGAAGAGAGTTTTTTTTTTTAAAAGGTAAAGGTTGGGAGAGTGCAGATATAGAGGAAAAAATGCTATGGGAAAATATAACTTCTGAACTTCTTCAATACAGATAAAAAAACCCTACAGTATTTCTATCAGCATAAACTAGATAAGTCATTAAAACCTGAAAGTAAAACTATTTATTTCAGATTCAAGCAAAAAATCCAAAAGTGGGATTTTCCAAAAGTAGAAACAAGCTAGACAAAGTTTAATTAAATTATTCTTTAATTAAAGCAGACAGTTGTGTAACCTCTGCCAACTCCACTAATTTCATCCTCTGTTCTTCCATTGTGGGTATATGTGAGTCTTTCCATCTCTGCTCATGGAGAAGCCTTGCTGCTGTTAACATATATAAGAACAAAGTTCCAAATATTTTTTTAAACAGGTTTGTCTATCAAACCTAAAAGAACAGCTTCTGGCTTCAATTGTATATTCAATTTAAGAATTCTCTTAAGTTAAAATACATATCTGATTTCAAGAAGTCTTAACTTTTTTACATGTCCAAAGTACATTCAAATTGTTTACATTTCCAACGTAGATTTGGCATAACCTTATACCTCTTTGATAATTTGTCAGATATTAATACCATCAGTACATACTCTTATAAAAATTCATTCAAATTATAATTCAATGTAAATTTCAGTCTTTTACTCCATATATGCTCCCATTGACCAAGTATTTCTTGGAGATTATTCATCATTTGGGAGAATGAATGGTTCTTGCTGCGTTATAGTCATTTATTTCAGCCTGGCACTAATTTTAATGTCAGAATATGCAGATGAGATAATGAGAGTCAATCTTACAAATGGTGCATTGCAATTACATTATAAATGGTTTTATGGTTGAGTTTGTATTTTTGGCTGATGTTTTCATCACAATTTTCAGTTGTTCAGGTGCTTTGTTGCTGAGATAAAAAATAATTGTATGATATAGATGCTCCATATAATAACATCAGCAGATACGAACTTTGAATTGCATTCTATGTGCAGAACCTCAATTTTAGTCAAATAGAAACATTTCTACCAATGCATCAATGGAGAGACACACTGAACAAGTCAACACTTGACAAAGAAGAAGTGTAGTACTGAGGTAGTTATGGGACAACCCATAGAAATACAACTATAATGCAACTTGGATAAAGGAGATGAGTAAGGATAAAAAAAGAAGTGGAAATGAAAAGAATTCTAATAACAGCAGAAATGGTAGAGAAAAGGCAAGGAAGATCAAGATTTGGTCAGTATCAGATGAAGATGAATTGATTGGTTTTTAGTTGAAACATCTGCTCCACATACCTGCTCATTACCAAGCAGTTTAACAACATATTGCAAGGAAGTAAAATTGAAAATTGCTGAACATCTGGCAAAACTCATTTGATTATGAAAGTTCTAACCAAAGCTGCAGCACCAGCAACTATAGGCCAATTACCTGCTTACCAACAATTTCAGTTTGCTAACTGATGTGATGACAAATGCAGTTCAACAGCATCTAGTTGAAAACAAGCTCTTTCCTCTTGAAACAGCAGAAGAACAAAAGGTCAACTCCTAATTGACAAGTTGATTTTTGGAAAACTGCAATGGAAGGAAGACCAACCTGAAAGTAGTTTCAATTGATTATAAGAAATCATTCAACTCCCTGCCACGTGATTGGATAATCAAGAGCCTAGGAATAACATCAGAGGTCAGAAGCTTTGCACGAAGATCAGTGACACAATAAAAGGCACCATTCAATGATAGACCATTAGAGGTTAATATCAAGAGATGACTCTTTCAAGAAGGTTCACTATCATGATTACTCTTTGTCATTGCACTGATTCCTCTGTCAACAATAGTGAATAAGACAGGCTGTGGCTATCAAACATTAAAAGCATCTGTCAGGCTATCCCACTTCCTTTACTTAGACAATCTGAATTTATATGGAAAAACACCATCTGAAATAGAATTGCTGCTCAGCATTGTTGGTATATGCAGCCAAGATATTGCAGTGGAGTTTGGACAAACATGCCGCCCTCACTATCAACACAGGAAAAATAGTAAGAACTGAAGGAATCAAAATGCCTTATGGAAATAACATCAAGAGTCTGGATGAAGACCATCATTACAAATAGCTGGGCGTCCTTCAAGCTGACAAAATCAAGCATGCTGAAGTCAAGAAGAAGGTTAGAAATGAAGACATCGTGGGACTGAAGAAGTCCATGATATACCATCAAGGAATTAACACTTGGACAATTCCAGTCATTAGATACAGAGTTGGAATAGTGGGCTGACTCAGGCAGCACTAAAAGCCTTGGATAGGAAGATCAAAGAAATGATATTGAATCATGCTGTTCTTCTATGCAGTGATGGTGACAGACTTTAGTTAGTAAGGAAAATAGGTGGGTGTGGGAATGTTGCAAGTGCACCAAATAGTTAAAGAAGAAAAGGGGCATCAGGGTATCTGAAAACCTGAATATCTGGAAAGTACTAGAGAGACTAAACAGGCCAACAAGAAATATCAAATAAAGAATAGGAAAGAGATATGACAAGGCAAAATGTTACATGAGCAGCTTATTAAAAAATAACAGCCAAAGCAGATAACATCAGGACCTGGCTATGGTTAACTGAAGAAGAGTTGAAAAAAGAGACAATGGGTTACTTCTGGCTTGCACAAGACCAAGTCTTAAGAACAAACATCACCATAAACTTCCTTTTGTTTAACTATTCTTTGGCTATACAACTTGTGTTTTAAGTCACTATCTTTGTGCATGACCCACTTTTTCTTGAGCTTATGCCATCTAAATATTTGAGCCACAGCTTTTTATAAATATATAGGGAATATTATCCTATGAAATACTTTTAATTAAGATGTCTTTTGAAGTATTGTGACAAAAGAGAAAATTAGGTAAAAGAATTTGATGTATATAAATAAATAAATAATAAATAAATAAATAAATAAATAAATAAATAAATAAATAAATAACATGTATACATTGGTGTCTCAATATTTAATAAATGAGTGTGATTAATTAGCCAATAGGGAACGTTGACAGGTCATGCTTTTGCTATAAGAAGTTGTAGGAAGCTAAACAGATAATATAATTAGCAATAAAATTAAGAGATTTTCACATCAGCTTCAGGGGCATTCAGAAGCATCCTAGTAAACATTCAGAAATGCTCTAGAGCAAAATTAGAAAAAAGAATGTTAATGTTTAGATGGATACTCCCTGCTAATAGATTGTTATAATTTATTTTACCTTTAGATTTGTTTGCATGGGCATTTTGTTTGTTTGTTTCAAGCTGTCTTTATTGATATTAGATTTATTGTTTAAAATGATTAGGGATTTTGTTACATTATGTTTCACTATCACTTTCAATATAAAATAAACATATTGTTCTTTCTCCTGGGCAAATACAACTAGTCATTGACATACAACATTCATTTAGTGACAGTTTGAAGTTACAAGCTTCAGCGGGTTGAGGATCTCTTTTCTATAGGATTAAGTGGACATGGGATAAATTAAAGGAATACTGAAAGAAATATTGTAGATATTTTTTATGGAAATAATAGCAATATGTCAAAGAATGGAATTGAAGCAAATGCTATAGAGGTTAGAGTCCAAGGGAAAAAGATAATGAAAAGGATGCTATTCTCTTGCAATATTGAAAAATGGTAAAGTTATGGATGTAAATATTATAACTAGAAATGTATTAAAAGTACTTTGCAATTTTCTTATAGAATATTTATATGACTTGTTTATGATGCATGTTAAGAGAAAAATGTAATTATTTTCCAGTATATAAAGGAAAAATAGCAAGAATGAATGCAAAGACTACAGAGGAATCAGCTGATTAATGATTAAGTAGTGAGCAAGTGTGAGTTGAATACAAAGGTGTTTAATTTATGGTTTGGTCAAATAGAATGAATGAGGATTGAATTGCCAAGTAAATATATAAAGTAAGAATGAATGGGTCAAGAGGAAGACTAAGAAAGTCAGGACTGAAAGGTGAGAATGAAATCCCCAGAGAGATTAGAAATTTAAAGAGTGAAAATCAATGAATGGTATGTGGACGTAGCAGAACAAGAACATTTTCAAGGGGGGAAAAGACATGGAAAAGTGAAGTAGATGAAACAGCTGTAAACTACATTCAGCTATGTTTTCACATCTCATGCCTTTGATCTGTTTATTTTATTAACCCATAAATCTTCGTATATAATTTATCCCAAAAGGCAATATATATATATATATGCATTGTTTTACTTTGCTGTGAAATGTTACTGTGACAGGAGGAGGGGCAAGAATGGGAGTTGGGCACTGGAAGCCTTCTCTTTTTGGAGTTCTCCATTGGCTGAAGGGAGAGGAAATTCAACAAAGCCTTGCTGTCAGCTGACCACTTACCTTTGTACTACTTTTTTTTGCTAAGGCTTATGATGAATGAATTAATGCTGTGTTGAGATGGTTTTCATTGTAGCATGGGAACACTCCTTTTCACCTTCCCACAAAAAGAATTTATGACTGTCTCTATAATCCACAAGAGACACAGTGGCTCAGTGGCTAAGATGCTGAGCTTGTCAATCAGAAAGGTCAGCAGTTCGAATCCCTAGCGCCGTGTAATGGACTGAGCTCCTATTACTTATCCCAGCTTCTGCCAACCTAGCAGTTCAAAAGCATGTAAAAATGCAAGTAAAAAAAATACAGACCACTTTAGTGGGAAGGTAACAGCGTTCCATGTGCCTTTGGCATTTAGTCATGCCAGCCATATGACCACAGAGATGTCTTTGGACAGCGCTGGCTCTTTGGCTTTGTAATGGAGATGAGCACCACCCCTAGAGCCGGAAACGAGTAGCATGTATGTGCGAGGGGAACCTTTACCTTTATCTATAATCTACTAGAAAATATGAAATCTATCTTCATACAACCGACTTAAATGGACTGGTTTAGTATGTTTATATCATGCTAAAAATTTTTTGTTAAATTTTGGTTAGGTGTTTTGTGTTTTATAATGCTGTGTATACTTCCCTTGTATGGTTAGTTTATTGTTCGGTGCTGTGTACGAACTAAAACAAATTGTTATTTGCTAACTAGGTTGAGAATTGGATGCACCTATTGCATTAAGATTAAACAACTCTTTTTCTGCTGCTAGAATTTCATTCTGAAAACTAAAAACTTTTATCAGAAAATTAAAGTGAGAACTTTTAATTGGAGTCTTGGAGCCTAGGTGACATGTAGGCATTAAAATTGTTTATCAGTTGTAATGCTCTCAATAGTAATATTATTGAACATATAGATTTGAAGGTGAGATATGGGATACTTTTACCATCATTCTAGGAAAAATATGGCTGTAGAAGATTGTAACAATTTCCTTACAGTGTTTATGCCATGTGTTGACATAAACAAGGGACTAAATAAAAGAGATCTGACATCAGATCAGTATAGTTACACTAACAGCATGTCATTTTAACTAAAATACTGCACAGTGCTCTAGTGATTTATTGATTTAGCAAAATGCAAAATATAATCAGTATCAACAGTGTTCATCTGGATGACGGTTAACTCTCAAAAGCTTATGCTTTTCTGGAAATGTGATAAGTTAAATGGAAATTAAAACAATTGCCTTCAAAAAATTGGAGAGTATGGGAAGTTTGAGATCCATTTATATGTTGCCCAGATTTGCAGGCAGTGCAGAAGAAAGACAAGCTTTTGGTGCTTTTATTTATTTTTAACACATTTAGAAATCCATTAAATAAGATTTTAAACTGCACTTTAGTATCATGGTATTATTTGTTTTTTGTTTTTTTACTGGATTCATTCCTTTATAAATACTTTTCAAATACATGGAAGGCATCGTTTGTTCTGTCCTTTGCATATAATGCAATAAAGAAAATTGCATTATCACTTATATCTTTTATGTACACTGAGAGCTTATGCACAGGAGACAAATTCCTTGTGTGTCCAATCACAGTTGGCCAATGAAGAATTCCGTTCTGTTCTGTTCCCTTCCCTTCCATATTCCATTCTGTTCTATTCACAGTACAGTATTTGACAGCTGAAATCTGGTCTGTTTTAATGCAGCACAAAACTCCTGAAAAATATGTTGAATCTTATTGTAGGGCTCATTTGGAGGCAAGTGCAGAGAAATGGAGTAAATTACTGATGTCACTGGAAGAACTTATCAAGTGGCTAAATTTGAAAGATGACGAATTAAAGAAGCAGATGCCTGTTGGTGGAGATGTTCCAACTTTACAGCAGCAACATGACCACTGTAAAGTAAGTTTCTTAATTTGACATTATTTCATCGTGAGCATGTTTCAGTAAATCCTTGTTTTATTTAAACAAGAGGTAAAAGATAGAATTGCCCTCCAATTAAAATGTTGGATACCTGACTGCAAACCACTGAGTTCTTTCCATAACTAGCAACACAGAAAAAGAAAAAACACAGTTTTGTTTTGGAGGGTTCTATTCTGGGAATAAAGCAGTGTTTCTGAAGAACTCAGTAACTGCTGATCTTAGATATAGCTTTATGAATACATCTTTAGACATCATTAAACCTAAGAGGCCATGGGTACCTTGCCAACTGGGTCCAGAAGCCAGGTATAAAAAGTTAAGTAATGAGGAAATGAAAAATATTCATAGCTTTTGGTCGATAGACAAATATCATCAATGTTGCCAGTATTTTTTAAAGCAGAATTCAGTACATGTTTGATACTATATTTTAATGATTCATTTCAAAAAAGCATTTCTTGGCTCATGGAGTGTTTAAATAGATGCAGAGTCATTCAACTTCTCTGTGTTTTAAAAGAAAATGTGAATTGAACTTTAGAGAGAATTAGAGAATGTAATATATTTAACGTTAAATTTAAAGAATTTAAAGAAACAACAAAAATGTAGCACTCATCTTTTTTATCGTCCAGCATTGGTACTTTAGAATATGTGCTGTCAAAGTGAACATGGAGTATTTCTACTTGTACTAAAACTGTGAAATTTGTGGTTTGGGATAAAGCCTGATGGATCCTTTTTAATCATGACTCCTTAGTTTTGAATTCCTTCAGAAGGAGACATTTGATTCTGTTGTCATTTAAATATCAGGCACATGTTTTAACTACTCATTTAAACTCTTCAGAATAATACTTACTATTCACTTAAGTGTTGGATAAACTGTTTCTACATTTCTATATTTTAAGGTGATTTCCCTCCCTCCCTCCCTTCCTGCTCTCCCATCTACATACATGACTAGACAGCTTGCATTAAACTCGATAAACTACCAGATGCAACAATAAAAATGCATAGCAGCTGAACATCATAAGATTGGTTTGGGCTTCCGGTTTGAGCTTCTTCAGCGACAGACCGAAACTTCATCTCTGCGAGGCTTCGATCCATGCTCGCTGCTGGAGAGCCCCGAGCCGGTGGCTTCAGGGCTAAGCCATCCCGTAGAGGTGGTGAAGAGGGGGGAGACTGCCTGCAGGGTTGAGGAGAGCCGCATCTCTCCTCCCCAGCTGGCCATTACTCCCTTTCCCAAAGGCAGTTGCAGTGGTGGTCAGAAATGGCCACTACAAAGAAGAACTCGACTGGAAAAGAATGTGCAGGAGGAAGATAAGAGGAGAAAGTTTTGGTTGACCGGGTCAAACAGCAAAAGCAACAAATAAGGTACCCTGGAATTGAAACTATTGAAAAACAATAACATTGTTCCCTAAGAAGATTTTAAGCTGTGAAGGAGAGAGAAAAGGGAAAAGATTTTGTTTTTTTTCTCCTTTTCCTATACTGACAGCTAAGAGACTTAAGTAAGAAATTGGAAAAAAAATCCACTTTGACATCAATAGGCATTTAATGCTGAAAATAAAAAGTCAAAGGGATAATAAAGATTTCTGGATAATTAAAAGCTTTTGAAAACAGGAAAGGAGAGAGGAAGAATAAAAGGGCGGGATCTGGAAAGGAGGAGACTGCCTGGAATTAAAAAAGAACTTATAGCAAAATCTCAACAAGACTTCCAAAAGATACATTCTAACTGAAATATCGCAACAAAAACCCCAGGAAGAGAAAGTCAAAAAAGAAATAAGAAGATATAACTCGGGACTATCTGGATTACTTGATGATTTCTGGATTCTTGGTTATTGTTTTGAATGACTAAAATCAATCGGGTGGTTGTTCAAAACTTTTTAAAATGGCTCCACTTTTAGAAGAACTGAAAATGGAACTTAAAAAGTACAAAGAAGATGCACAAGAAGGGAGAGGTTCTTTTGGCTTTGTATTTCAGTTTTTAGAAATGGAGATTTGGAATTATGAGAAACAACAAGAAATGCCTGCAGAACAAGAAGATTGCGACAAAGAAGAAGCCATCTTTAATGAACAAGTAATCTTAGCTGGGGGGGAAAAAGGAAAGGGGGGAAAGAGAATGGAAAGTTTAAGATTGGGAAAAACAAGTCCAAAAAAAAAAAATAGAGTGAAAAATAAGTATAAAATCAGAAAGCAACAGAAGAGGGAAATGCAGAAGAGAGAATTAGAAATAGAGAGACAAGGGGGTAAAAAGGGGAGGGAGAAGATGAGAGGGAAGAAAGAAAGGAAAAGAAGTCATAAAGGACAGAAACAAAATACAGAGAAACAGGGCCTATTTAGAGATAATGGGTGAAAATTTAATGGAAAAGGGGATTCTGCAAAGGTACATAAGATAGTATGGTTATATTAGAAACAGAAATAATTTTAGAAAATATGAAACAATGTATGATTAAAATGTCTGATAAAATAGCTATCGTAATTCAGTGGAATGCTTGTCAATAAATAAATGTAATAAAAGGTATATTTAATGATTTATAAAACATATGTGAAGAGAAATAAGGGAAAAATTAATTATGGAGATTATATGTGTTTTTAAGGAAGTATGATATTTAATTGAAAAGAAGTGTTAAAGATGTTAAGATTTTAATGATTATTAATGATAGAACTGAACTGAAACGGAATGAGGGTTTATAATTACATATATTTACAATCTTTTTTTTTTAAGAATATAGTGTGTATTATAAGAATGTACCAAGCAGAATTCAATTGGAAGTTATGTATTATGTATTATATTGAAGGTCATAACCTTAAGGTATATATTGAAGTTTAAATAAGAGTTTAATTGATGTAATTAAAAGATGTAAAGGTGCCATACTCCAGTTAGTAACTACAGGAGAAAATTTGTTTAATGAGAAAAGATAATATGAAATTGAAGCAGAACAGAAAAAAGTATAAATATAATGATTTGAATTGAGATGAGATAATCAAATTAAAATCGAGAAAATCAAAAGAGGGGAAAAACTATATAGAAAATGTAAAATAGTATAAGATATGGAATAGAAATGTAAAATAGTATAAGATATGGAATAGAATAGGAGCATGAAATTGAGTTTTGTGTCTGTATAAAGAAGTTCAACCCGGGACCATGCTATTTTCAAAAAAGATGTTTTACTTGTATTTTGTATGTGTGAAAACCCAAATAAAACTTCATTTAAAAAAAAAGATTGGTTGGAACCTACAATCTTCTCTCCTACTTGTACTAGTTTCTATACTGACTTCAAGTCTATATAACTGAGAACCAAGTAGGCACTTAGGCCTTGAGCAGACTTGGTATTCAGCAGGTTCTGACCATGTCATGCCCCTGGTGGAGACTGACTCTGAGGAAGAGGAGGAACAGCCAACAGGGAGTGGGAGTGTGGCTCCAGAGGTGGTGGAGGAGGCTGGGAAAGGGCAGAGGCCAGCTGAGCAGTCAAAGGAGGATCCAGGCCCATCCCCTATCCATCCTAGGTCACACAGGGAGGAAAGGATCAAGGAAAAGCGAGGTCTACTCAAAAGGAGATTACCATGATCCTCCTCGTGGCTTGCAGGTGGGAGCTATGTATATAAGTTTGCAACTGCACAATTAGAATTGCTGACGTCAATTAGTGTTCACCTTGAAAGAGGCTTATCTTTGCTGGCGTTCTTCCCATGGACTTTTCTCAGTTATTTTCTTGGAGTCTATAGTTAGTTATCTTGGCTTGCTTCAGAACTCTCATCAATGCGGTTTGTTTTGGTTTTTCTGTTTGCCTCCTTATTTACTTTTGTGACTTTAAACTGTGCCTAATAAAACAGTGAAGTTAAGTTGAAGGCTTTACCAGACTGTTTTGGGTTATTTTGAGAGACTACGGGTCATCACAGACCAGTTCTGGAGAACCGGTATTGGAAATTTTGAGTAATTCAGAGAACTGGCAAATACCACCTCTGACTGGCCCCGCCCCCATCTATTCTCTGACTCCCGAGTCCCAGCTGATCGGCTAGGTCTTCTTTTGTTGCCCTGCACAGGAGAATGGAGCTGGAAAGCAAATTAGTGGAGTGGGGAGGGAATGGTATTTTGCAGTAACCTTCCCCTAGGAGCGGGGAGGAAATGGAGATTTTACACTATCCTTCCCCTGCCACGCCCACCAAGCCATGCCCACCAAAGGCACGTCCACAGAAGTAGTAAAAAATGTTGAATCCCACCACTGGCCTTGAACCCATTTTTTGTTGTTCTAGTTCCCTTCCAATCATGTTTTCTCCAAATGAGCATAATGTATTATGGGAACTACACCCAAACAGTAGAAAGAGAAAGAAAGAAAGAAAGAAAGAAAGAAAGAAAGAAAGAAAGAAAGGAAGGAAGGAAGGAAGGAAGGAAGGAAGGAAGGAAGGAAGGAAG